CCCCCCCAAAAAAAAACCCACACAACCAAATTTACTTATTTTGAACTAAAATGCCCTGTAGTGTCCATTACCTGATTTGGTGGGATCCATATAATCCCAAATGCAAAGCCTCAGATGAACAGAAAAAATAAGTTTATATTAGAGGGGCCAGTGCCAAACCTAATTGCTTGAATAAAAGAGGTGTGAGTATCTGTGGCAACAAAGATCTGTAGTGACAAAAACTAGTCACAAAGTGACTAGATTTGACAACAAGTCAAATCTGTAACTTTTTACAAAGTTATAATATCTGTAACATCCTTTCCAGCTTTATATTTCTGCATGATTTGATGACTGGACATCTGTTTTGAAATCCCAGAGAAAAAAAAAAAGTGCTCTAAAGTATTCTGCATTGCTATAGCAAAGTTCAGCTTTTCAGAGAAAGCAGCTGCTAAATTTTCTGGAATAAACACACAAACCATTTTAAAGACTTGACCCTTGATTCCTTCATCACAGGACTTCTAGGGACTTCAGGGAAGTCTCCAAGTATAAGGAAGACACAAAGGGCTCTGATTCCACAGTCTTGAGCAAATCAGGCTGCTTTTCAGTCACATAAAGCAAAGCAGCCTCCTCACAGCTGTGCTGTTTTATATACCTGAAAAACAATTTTTAAAATTATCATGGTCTTACTGGGGAATTTGGATATGCAGTCATTACTAAATTGCCATAAAGTTCCATATTACCAATTCTGTCATTACTGAACAGCTTCAAGACACACAGTATCTTTGTGCTGCATCTCTTTTTCTCGCTGTAAGAAAACAAGAGCATATGAATGACAGCAAAAAATGAAGCCAAATGTACTGTTGAGAAACTTGGTATTCTCTTATTTCTAGGAGAGCTATAGTGTAACTCTAAACTGCAGCATTCAGCATGTCTCCTGAGCTTCCTCGCTGAAATATAGCAATGGAAATTTTACAGCATCTGTGTTGCTTTTGGAAGCCATCACCTCACATCTGCTGTCTCTGTAGTGTAGAGTTTAAGTTCAGCATAAAAAGGTACTTTGTAACAGGCAAGAGGAATCCTGACAGAGCGGTAATTTACAGACTCGCCCAGTTCCCCTGACTAAACGCACTCACTTTTACATTCTGTAGAGATTTTTACATCAGGTGCGCTTCAAGCAGCCACCAGCGA